CTCGTTGGCTATTGTGATGGCCTGGTGGGGGGAGTGGGAGGGAACGGGTGTGCGGGAAGGATTTTGAGACGACTAAATAACCGTGCCCCAGCGGCACGGCTTCCAAGTGCTGGTTTACTTGGTCTGGGGTTAAGCCGAGCAGGCGCTCGTTGGCTATTGTGATGGTTTGGCGAGGGCGTGTGGAGGGAGTGTGGCGGATTGGGGTGGTTGGAGGAGGGGAGGAGGGTGGGGAGTGGGCGAGGAGATGAGGAAACAGGGAGGGGTCGGGAGGGGATGTGGAGAGGGGAGAGGTTGTGGGGTGGGTTTAGGTACAGGGAGATGCGAAAGAGCGATGGGTTAGTACGGGAAAGGTGTAGTTTAAGGGATGGACAAGACGTGAAATAAGGAACGGGGGGTGCTGCGGCGCGTGCGTGCACTCACAGCAAAGGCCTCGTTGATCTCAAAGAGATCGATGCTCTCTAGAGACAGCCCTGCTGCATGCACCGCCTTGGGAATGGCCAGCGACACTGTTGTGGGATATCGCTCTGGTGCCTGCACGGTTGCAACCATGCATGGGTGTTTACGGGGGGGGGAAGAGGAGGAGAGGGGACAGGGGCAAAAGGGGTGAGCAAAAACGGGGGGAACGGGCGAGAGGAAGAGGGTGTGTGATGAATGTGGGATGGGAGGAAGCGGCAGTGACGGTGGTGTAGCGGAGGGAGGTGGAGGACAACGAGATGGACCACATCAACACCCAACCCAACCCCAAACCATCGCCAATGCCATGCACCGCTTCTACATGTGCTGCGAAGGTGTTGCAGGTGCATCCAAAGCAATGCAAGCCAAGGGAAGGCATGCAAGGCAAGGCAGGTGAGGCGAGGAGAGGCAAGCAAGGCCCAGCGTGCATCACATCACCTGTTCGGCATCAGCAAAGCCGAGCACGCGCGCGAGCACAGGCAAACCGTGTTGGTGCGCATAGGCAGCGGAGGTGAGCACGAGCGCTGCAGCACCGTCGCTGAGGACCGACGCATTGCCTGCTGTCACAGAGCCGTTGGGTGAGAAGGCCGGCGGTAGCGCTCGCATCTTCTCCGGGTCAAACTGATGAGGGGGTGTCGTGGACGGTGGGAGTGGAAAGAAGGCGTGGGGGTTTGGGGGGAAGGTGGGGGGGTTATGTGAGGGAGAGCAACATCATGGAAGGTGTTTGAACCGTGCAGGACGGAAGGGGTTTGAGTGGTGTGCCTTTGGCAGCAGCAGTCACTGTAGGGATTTCAGGAAACGCTCATTCTTGAAAATTACATACATTATGAAAATAATAAAAGGAAGGGTAGAGAAGGAGTGATACCCGTGTGCATTCCTCGTCGTGCATCAAGCATGCGTCTCCCCCTCCTCTTCCTCCACCAGCCGTGCTTCCACCCTTGCCAGCCTTTGCACCGCCACCCTGCTTCGCAGCGCCACCAGTAGCAGCAGCAGCGGTGGCGGCATTTGGGTGTGGCACGGGCACTATTTCAGACGCGAGGAGACCCGTGGCCTGTGCCGTGACGGCCTTGGTGTAGCTGTTGATCGCCTCATCGTCCTGCCACATGGGTGCACGGGTGCATGGGTGGATGGGTGCATGGGTGGATAATGGATGGATGGGTGCATGGGTGAGTTAGTGCCCCTTGGGTTAGTGGATAAAAACTATGCGGAAAGGGGGAGAATGTGGACGGAAGTGTGGGAAAGAAGGGTACACGGGGGGTGCAAGGCACATGGAGAAGGCGTGAGATGTGCTGCTGCAGGGAGCAGGGGTCTTTCTGGGGGAACGGATGATGTGCTGTGCTGTGTGCCGAGAGCGCATTCTGGGTCCAAACCTGCTCCCCCCCACCCGCCATCCCCCACAGGTTCTCCCCCATGAGCTCCCCCGCACTTGCTCCCCCCACCTTCTCCCCGGGACCCGTTCTCCCCCGCCTCTCTCCCCCCCCCCTCCCTTCACAACTGCTCGCGGCGTGAGATGCGGAGCTGGGCGGCAGCGGCGTCAGCAATGGTGCCCATGTGGCAGCCGGCGCGGGGCTCTGGGCTCTGTGCTGTGTGCCCCAGAGCGCATGGCGGGCCCAAACCTACTCCCCCTCACCCGCTCGCACCCAGCCCACCCGCTCCCCCTCCCCCGCTTTCCCCCACCCGTTTTCCCCAACCCGCTCTCCCCCACCTGCTCGCGGCGTGAGATGCGGAGCTGGGCAGCAGCGGCGTCAGCAATGGTGCCCATGTGGCAGCCGGCGCGGGGGTCCCAGAGCCCGTCCAGGATGAGCGAGTCGCACAGCGCCAGGTCGCCGTGGCGCCGCGGCTTGATGACACGTGGCAGCAGGTAGGGCGCGTGCGACATGGTCTCCATGCCGCCCGCTGCTACCACGCTCTGGTGCCCCAGCATAATGGCCTGACTCGCTAGTGTCACCGCTGCCAGTGGGGGCACGCATGGGCATGTGTTGCAGGGGATGTGGTGTAGGGGGGAAGAGGGGGGAAGAAGGGGGAGGAAGAGTTGGGAGAGGAAGGGCGGGAGTAAATTGGGAGGGCGGGGGGAGGAGGGAGGGTGGGCGGGGGGGGGGGGGGGGGAGTTCAAGTGAAGAGGAGAGGAGAGTGGGAGTGTGGAAAATAGCGGTGGAAAGAGATGAAGGGGACAGGCAGGGGATAATTGGAGAAGAGAAGGAAGAAGCAGAAGCGGCGCAGGCGCAGAGGTTGGTAAGAGAGGGTGATCGAGGAATGAATACGGATACAGTGGTGAAGAGACAGGTAGCGGAGGGGGAGAAGGTAGCGGAGGGGGAGAGCACCTTTGAGCCCCGAGGAGCAGACTTTGTTGACAGTGGTGCAGATGGTCGTGTCTGCCAGTCCTGCTGCCTGTTGTTGGGGTGGTGTCAGGGCGGACATGCTGTTTGTTCTGTGCTGTGTGTGTGTGCGTGCAAGTGTGTGTGCGCGCGTGCGTGCGTGCGTGCGTGCGTGTGCGTGCATGTGTGTGTGTGGGTGTGGGTGGGTGGGTGTGTGTGTGTGTGTGTGTGTGTGTGTGTGTGCGTGTGTGTGTGCGTGTGCGTGTGTGTGTGAGCACGGGTGCAGCACTGCATACGTATCCTACGTATATCACATACATACAAAAACATCTACTCCCTCTCCCTCTCATTTCCTCCCATACCTTCCCCCCTCGCTCCCTCCTTCCCTCCCTCTTACCCTCTCTCCCTCCCTCTAACCTCCACTGAACCGTCCCTCTCAGCGCCCAGCAACAATACCCCCCTACCACCCAGTCCCACCATCTTACCCCCAGCCCCCAACCCCTTAACCCCCATCCCACAGCGGACCCAAGGCCCAACGCACCAGCGCGGCCTGTCGGGCGGGCGCCTGCCCTAAGCCCGCGCTCAACACGTTCCCCATCACCACCTCCTGCACCGCCGCTGCCCCACCGGGCAGCCGCGCGCGCGCCACCGCGCCTGCGGGGCCAACGATGGGGAAAGGGTGATGGCGGGCGGATGGGAGGAAGCGAGGATACGCGGAAAATAAGAGCGAGGACGAGGAGTAGCGGAGGCGCGGGGAGCGGGGAGAACAAGCGAAGGCGACGTGGCAGGTGGCGCAGGCAAGTGAGAGAAGCAGAGGTTGCCGGGAACACACGCGAGAGAGAATACAAGTGTGGGAGGACTATGTTAGAGGCGCTTCAGCGTAACGGCGGGGGGGGAGCGAGAAGCGCGGGTGAGACGCGAGCACCTGCGATGGCAGCGGCGCCAAGCTGCGGGGCGGTGAACGCGGACAGCCCGCCTTGAAACCCGCCTATTGCGGTGCGCGCCATGGCGACAATCACCACGTCCTGCAGCCCACTACTGCTGCTGCTGGGGCTGCCGCTACTGCTGCTACTGTTGCCAGTGCCGCCGCCGCCACCGCCACCACCGTTGCCGCCGCCGCCGCCGTCGATAGATGCAGCTGTGAACGCGCGGTGAGGTAACTGCTCGCCGGCCCTGCTTGGGTCGACAGCATTAGGCCGACTGGTGCTTGAGCTCGGATGAACTTTCGTCACGGCCTCACCCCTATTGGCTGACACCAGTGCGGCGACTGCGCGCCGAGCAATATGCAAGCTCCTCGCAGCGCCCACGCTGAGAATACGTCCTGTCGCAGCTCGCGCCGCGAGGTGCGCTATTCTTTGGCATGCACGACTGTCCATGACAGCAGTGTTGTGCTGGAAAGTGAAGTTCAACTTCTGTTATGGAAGTCTTGTTGGTCGTTCTGAAAAGGCGGAACAAATGGATGGACGACTGATTGCGCTCAATTACGCCGCTAATTATGTACGAAAACCAGCACACAGGAAAATACTAGACCCAGAAGGGACAGGAAATGGAGAGTGACTGCGGAATGGCGTTGAAATCTAGTGTGGTGTGGAAGGGACAATAGGGTGACCAGGCGGGTTGGGTGCAGATTGCGTGGCCCAGCGTCAGCAGTGAGTCAGCAAAGCCCTTGTGATCGGCATGCAGATGTGTCGAAGCGTGCTCAACTACGCGGATGCAGGCTCTAAGTGTATTATGGTCCCCTATAACGAGTTATGTGGCCGTGGCTTTGAAGGATGGGACTCTATCGACGCCATGCATGAAAAATGGGGCTCGTGTATGTGTACAGTAAAAACGACATGATCGGTTTGCTCACGTGATCCTGCAGGTGTAGAGGTGTCTCCTCAACAGGGATGAAACAAACCAGAAAACACTTCACGGGTGTAGTTCATTCAGGACAAAGTTTTTCAGGGATGTGAGGGGGAAGACAAAGCTATTCTTTCTGGGGACATTATTTCTGATTGGGCAAGTATATGACATCAAAGGGTTGCGACTCAACTTTGAGATTGTCATCCACTACTTGCGGTCGCTGACACGGGTGGTACATGATCTCCGCTGCAAATAACTGGAGGGCGACAAACAACGAGGCACCCAGCCACGCAAACCACCTTGGTGTGCGACCAAGAGATAGCGTTTACTGTCGCGTCCCTAGTCACTCCGCCCTCACACTCGGCTGTTGCTCACACAACCCTCAAAATGACCCTCCACATACCGTCGCATGCCTTACCTCCCCGTCGCACACCAGCACACCAACTATTTCTCCCACCACCACCACTTTCTTTCTCCCCAACCCTCCCCCACTCTTCCGAGGCACAGCACGGGAGCACACCACCATGCTCTGCTGTACCACCTCCCCCTCCCCCTCTTGCAACCATTCCTCCCTCCCATTCAAGCCATTCACTTCCAAATCTCACATTCTTCACATTTGGAGTGCCAACAGGCCTTCCAATTCCGTGTCTAGTCTGGGATGTGCCTTCGCTACTCCTTGCTTGTATCTTAGCAGGATACAGCCATAATACGCTTTTAGTTGGAGCTAGAAGTGAGGTTGAACATATTATTTCTCCCCCTCGCTTCTCTCCGTTTTTTTTTCGTTACTTTTCTTCCCCCTTTTTTTTCTATGTTTTTTGTATTCCGTCGACTTCAAGGCTTCGCATATATTCTCAGATTATCTTGTTCTCAGCATATCCGTGGATTTGCACCATTCATGAGACCGCGCCTTTGCCTTCATCAATAAGGTGTCGATTCTCATTCACTCCGGGCCGAAGTGCTTCAACCTGGGTGCATTGACTCAGTGCCCAACTTTGTAAAGTAGCAGCTTGTAAACCAATTAGGTGAGCTCCGAATTTCTCTCCCTTGGCGATTTCACCGTTTTCCTCCTCCGTGTGCAGCTGAGTTAGTCTATTTTGTGTTTCAAATTTGTTTTTCACTGGTTTTCTTTTCTTGCTTCATTTTTTATTTTCTTTTTGCAGGTTCGCCTCTTATAGCGAAATGGAGGCTCTTGTTTGAACCTGACATTATACGATTTGAATAGCGTATCATTAGGCTCACGGTATGCGCTTTGCGATGAAGCACATGTTTTCATAAAACAACTTGTGTTCGTCTTTCTTGTTGCTTGTTATTGCGTATCCACTGGATTTTTAAGTCGTTCCTGTTTCTTGCCTGCATCTTGTTACAGGCGTTTGCGCTGATACTAGAAGGATTGTCCGAAAATGGCTACTGAACTGGGTACCGAGAAGGCCAGCATAAACGGAGGGCGATTTGACGCAAGTCAGTACGCCTTCTTTAACGCCGACTCTGCCGCTTTACCACAGGAAGAGTTAGGCGGCTTGGAGGATGATGGTGCAGATGGGGAACTTGGCGGATGGGACGAGAATCCGGACAACCTGGAAGAACCTTCTGTTGAATGGTCGGATCAGCCAAGCCTTAAGACCGACGATGTGAGCGCTATGGCGTTAGCGCATAGTTCTGGTGCTTTTTTCTTGATTGCCGTATGCATACTCTATTTGTTTCAGCCTGTGCCCCTTACGTCGGGTAAGTAATTCTTATGTCATTTGGTCCTTTTCGTTGCCTTGCAGGTAGGTGATGACTTAGGGCTCAGTCTCCAGCAGCTTCGGATAAAAGACCCGGAGCAGAGCAAGCCAGAGCAACAAGAGAAATGGTTGGAGCGACAGCAAGAAGAGCCGATTCCTGTAGGATCGGAGGCCCCTAAGGTCTCAGGAAGTCAGAACATTGGACCGCCATCTGCTGGCGTTTCGGGTCCCCCTCTTCCGACTGGGTTCATTGGCGGAATGCCGCCTCCTACGATGCGCCCCATGGGCAGCCATCCCGGAGGTGCTTGGCCCGCTCCTCCTGGCCCCTTTCTTCTTCCCCCTAACATGCCACTTCCGCCGAATTTTGCGGGGCCGCAAGGCGTCGCCGTTCCGCCGCCGTGGCCTGCGCCAAATGCGCCCTATCAGCAACAGCAACCGCCTCCGTTACCACAGGGTCAGCAGCAACAGCAGCAGTTCATGCAGCCTCCAGGGATGCAGCAGCAGCAGCAGCAGCAGCAGCAGCAGCAGTGGGCGGGCGGCCCAGGCGCGTGGTCGGGACCAGAAGCTGCGGCAGGTCCTGGTGCTCCTCCGGTTCAAGGGGGGCAGGTTATGATGCCGACGTCAGTCCCCATGTCTGGCGGGACGGGCCCCGCGCGGTCTATGGCCAATGCTCATGGCGGCCCTGGAGCCGGTGGGTTTTCGGAAGGGGGTGGTGGTTCACCGGGTATGGTGAGGTCGCAGTACATGAGTGTGGAGGAAATGCAGTCCATCATCCGTATGCAGTGGGCCGCTGTTCATGCCGGGGATCCGTATGTGGACGACTACTACCATCAAGCGGTGGAGCAGCGCAAGGCAGCGGCGGCTGGCATGCGTCTCCGCCACTTCGCGCCGGCTACCCTCCAGCCGCCCGGGAGCTTGCAACGAGGCAACGGGCAGCAGCAGCAGCAATCCACAGTCGCGTTCGTTCCGATTCAAGGTCTGGGTCGAGTTCCTATTCCCTCCATTCGCCGTCCGCGCCCGTTGCTGGATGTCGAGCCGCTTGCTTGCCTGCACTCTTCGTGGCACGAAAGCGGGCCGGGAGGCAAGGGAGATGGCGTTGGTCCGGATGGGCGCCAGCAGCCAGTGCGGCCGCTGGAGCAGGAGCCTATGCTAGCGGCGCGCATAGCCATTGAGGAAGGCATGAATGTGCTTCTTGATGTTGATGACATTGACCGACTCTTGTCCTCACCCCAGCCGCTCCCACCGCACGCTGCTGCACAGTTACATCGCACGCGCCACTTGCTTCTGGAAACCCTCGCGGCCTCACTCCAGCTGTCGGATCCTCTCATTCCCGGAAGCCCGCTTGCTCCCATGCATGATGTGCGCGCCGCGGCCTCCGCTGCTGCAACTGCTGTCGCTGCTGCTGGACCAACTGGCGGCTGGGGGGAAAGGAGTGGAGGTAACAGGGGGTTGTCTAGTGTTGTTCCTCCAGAGGATGTAGTCTGGCTTCGATTGTCGGTGCTTCCCAAAGGAAGGAAGTTCTTGGCTCGCTTTTTCAGTGTGGTGCCAGCAAACTCTCCACTTCAGCGCATCCTGCTTCTTGCTGTGTTCCGGCACTTCCGCATTCTCTTTTCCCCATCGGCAGTAGGTTCTGCCCCACCTGAGCCTCCAGCCACGCCTGAGGCCGCCGCCCTCTCACTCCCTACACAAGTCATTCGAGCCATGCAGAGCCTGTCTTCGTTAGACGTTGCTGCTGCATGCCTTGCAGCAGTTGTGCTTGCTCCCGAGGCTCCCCCTTTTGCCTCGCACACACCAGCAGGACGTGCGGCCACCTCTGTCCTGCGCACACTTCTTGACCGTGCAGCCAATGTTCGGGCAGCTGCTGCTGCATCAGCAAATGCAGCTGCATGTGCAGCTCCGCACAGTCATCACCAGGTCCAGTTTCAGCTGCAGCAGCAGCTGTTGTCCTGGCAGATTGGATTTGATGCCTTTTTTGACAGGCTGTCCTCTGTGTTGTGCTTTCGAGCCATCCTTTCATCACTGCCTCTGCCTGCAGTTGCAGCTGCAGCTGTGAGCAAGGAGATGCCTCTTGAGCTTCTCCGTTCTGCCCTGCCTCACACAAGCCAGGAGCAGCGTGACCAGGTTGGGGCTCTTCTCCAGGGTCTGCTCCGCAGTAGCAACAGTGCAGCATAAGGATTCACTGCTTAGTTGGCGGAAGAGGGTATGTTTTTTCTGCACTTACAGGATGTTCTTGCTTTGCCAGTGAACAGTTTAAACTAAGGGGGTTGATTGACATGTGCAGGTTACTGTGGCAACTGCGACACTGTATGTGGTGGCTGTGTGGAAAATGTGGTGCAACTGGAATTGTGCAGCGGGAAGCATTTGAGAGGTATTTTTGGATGTGAAGTTCCGGGAGATGTATGCTGTGGTCGTGGATCATGCAGATTGACTGGCAAATGCCTTGACTCAGGAAAAGGCATGTAGTTTGGCCTTTTTGTGATGTCGATTTTTGAACTTGGACCTGTTTAACAGTGTCGAGAGGAGAATTAGGGCATGTTCCTACGGCCCCTTATCAGGCCAACCTCTTATCAGGCTCGCGTTACAACACACTGAAATTTCCCTAAACCCAAAAACCTTCGCGAATTTTACCAGGCAAAAATGCGAAGCTGATATGAGGTGTCCCTGATAAGGGGCCGTAGGAACATGCCCTTAGATGAATGTTGGGATGGGCTGCATGATTGTGATCCATTGAAAGGCAAACAATACTAGTTCTTTAGGCTTGGAAAGGTGGTTTGTGGGAGTTTAGTTAATTGGATCCTGTACAGAAGAACGTACTGCGTGTAGACAGCCCCACAAAAGCTCTCACCTTTGTATCGGGTATGATCTTCCGAAGTTCCTATTCTCGATATAGTCAGGCAATGTATGATTGTACACCTAGCATTGTTCTACAGCACAATGGATTGTTGTGACATTTCCGTTTCCCGCGTGAGGGAACCAACCCCAAAACAATCACTTCCGTTGAATCTTGTGACATTTCCATCTTCCGCGTCGCGCCAAACACTGGCAGACACAGACCGCGGTCCGTTGTTACCGCTGTCAGTCAGAACACTCGGCCAAGCACCAGTGACCTCTCTGCTCGGCGCGGTCCACAGACAACTTGAAAGCCAGTGTCAAAGTCGCGTTTCGGTTTGGAATCGCGTAGCTCAGTTTAGGTCCGGATGTCCTTCCCCAGCCTCCTGGTCAAGCCTCGAAACTGGAGAATATCGAGATCCCGCGAGGTCCCCTTGTCTCAACTTGGCTCGGAACCACTAGATCACCCAATTTCGCTTCGGTTTTCTTACCAACGAATACCCAACCTACTTCCTCCTCAACCTCCCCTGCCTCCTAGTTAGGCTCTTCTCATCCCGAACCTAGTTTCCCTCCATCGATGGCTGGAGGACACCATCCTCTTGCTCCGATGATATCGAGGACACATCCATCCGCCATCCCCTCAACACGCCACAGCAAAAGAACACTCCCACATCCATCACCACCACTGCAGCTTCACTGCCTCAGATCTTTACTGCCTCCATTATTCACACCCGTTGCACCGACAGAGAGTAGTTCTGGGTGATGGGGAATCTTTAGGTACTCCCGACTTAGTGCTGGCATCGAGCATCTATTCAGCCGTCATTGCGTTGCTAGCGGATTTTTAGAATAGGCGAGGCTGCAGGAGCCTCAGATACGAACTTAACAAGTTTGCATCTGTCCAAATTCCACAACCGCCCATAATGGGTCCAAACGCGGCGGTCGAGTACTCGCCTGCTCCAAAGTGAGTTTTGATTTAGTGCTCTCAATCTCGTCCCTGTGCTCCGTAACTTAGTGAAGCTTGCTCTCCAAGTAGTGAAGTACTTACATCCACTTCATTCCCGTGCGCTCCTCTCGCAGATCTGATCCGAATCTTCGACGTGTGAAGTTGTTAATACGCGAGTCGGCGTCCACGTCCAGAACTCTCGTCTGTGCGACCACGGCGATGATCCTGCTTCTTCCTCTCCTCTTTTGGGCCTCCTCGTCGAACTCCTCGGTCACGCTTCAAGGTTGCCCAGCCAGTTTTTCTTTCTATGTCGTGATGTTCTTCATTCGATCCCCTGGACTCTTGCACATGGAATCTACCCCCTTTTGCGTGCTAGCTGCTAGTTTCGGTCCGACTTAGCAGTATCTACTCGTTGTCTTACGCCTCGTGATTGCCACGGTTTTCGTGTGCGTGCAGAGCCATCGAGCGCGACCATGGTTACGTTCTCCCCCAACTCCGAGGTACAGAAGCTGATACTCCTAACTCTCTTTTTTTTCGCTGTCGACTCTTTCTTGCATCCTATACTAGGCCTGTCCTTTTCTTTCTTCGTTGCCTTCCGCCAAATGATTGTACTAAACAAGACACCCGTTCCTCTTAAGTCTGGGCGCGTGAATGGAGCAAACTGTAAACCTAAAGTAGTCATTCCATCCATAACGGGTTCATACCAGTTTCGTTCAACTATGTTCCACTGGCATCTTCGTCCCTGGCTTACTGGCTTCACCTTCCTTCTGCCACTGTGTGGCCTAAACATCCGTATTGTATTTGAATATCAATGCTGTTTTGTTTTCTTACTTTGTTGGTACGCGAAAGTCTGTGTGCGTGGTTGTATGTGCCTGTGCGCGGCAATGGAGTTAGGGTAGTCCGGGTTTTCCGTCTGTGTGTGCTAACGAGTGTGTGCGACCCTGCGATGCTATGAGCGTGCCCCCTTTTTTCGCGTGCGTCGCGGGTAATGCGCATGAGTATCGCAACTAGAGTATGGTGATGGCTGCGGTGGTGAACACAGCTGGCGCTTCACGAGCGTGTATTTGCTCCCAGCGTTACTCTCTGTCTCGTCAGAAACAACAACACTGAAGGAGGAAAAGCTACTTGCATAACCCTGTCTGCTTCTCCTCTTTTTTATGGTGGCTCGTGTGGTGTTTTGGCGGAAACAGAACGAAGCGGAGGACGGGGTGGTGGCGGACGGTGGCGTGGACAACGTGAGCGACAGCTTGTCGGAGACCGCAAGGCTCGAGCGGATGCGACCAACTCCGGAGGCGGAAGATGGGGAAGCGGCGGAGCAACGAGATGAGGGCGCCGGAGCGGAGCAGGAAGGCGGGGAGGAAGTGGGAGGCGCGGCGAAGGAGAATAGCGAAGCAAGAAGTTCCAGAAATAACCGCGGCGGGCGCAAAGCAGGCCCTGCGGAACCAGAGCAAGAAGAGCAGGAGCATGAGCAGGAGCAGGAGCAGGCAGGGGAGGAGGGCAAGGGGAAGGATGGGGAGGGCGAAGGAAAGGACAAAGAGGATGGCGGGCGCAAGTCTAGCGCTCCGGAGGTCGTGGTGGTGGTGAGGGACGGGAAGGAGAATGTACCAGAGGAGAAGAAGGAGAATTACATGTCGCTCATGGGCGACCTTGTCGGACAAGTGGCTGACATTCTACCCGAGGCGGAAAAGCGCGAGAACGCGCAGATGGTGAAGCACGTGCGCGCGGCTCTGGACCGCGCGGAGCCGCTGGTGGAGAAGTGGAAGGGCGACCGGACGTGGGCGGGCGAGGAGAAGGTGCTGGGGCTGATCAAGCTGCTGGAGGCTCTGCGCGCGCGCGCGCAGGAGTGGAAGAGCACGCTGTCGACGCTGGACCGGCTGAAGAAGAAGGTGGAGTCGCTGACCAAGGAGCGCAACCAGCTCGACCTCGCCGCCGCCAAGGCGCTCCCCAAGGCTCTGCACTGCCTCAACCTGCGCCTGGCCGTGGTGCGCTGCGTGAGAGGGTGGGGGTGGGGGTGGGGATGGGGTGAGGGGTTTTGGAGGGGGTGTGGTGGCGGGGAGGGGGTGTAGGGTAGCGTTGGCTGTGAGTTTTGGGAGTGTGGAGGGTGTTGACGAGTGGATGCAGTGAGTGCATGCGGGCGGTGTGATTCCTGGTCTAATCGTTCAGTGTGCCTGTGATGTCGGTTGTGGTGCATGGGATGTGCATGTGGTTGCGTGTGTGTGCGCGCGCGTGTCTGTGTGTGTGCGCGCGAGCGTGTGCATATGTGTGTGCGCGCGCGCGTGTGCGAATGTGTGCGCGCGCGTGTGCGTATGTGTGCGCGGGCGTGTGCGTATGTGTGTGCGCGCGCGCGTGTGTCGAGTGCAGGCGTACGGCAAGGACGACGAGATTAAGGCGCTGACGAAGGCGCGGGAGGAGAAGCAGGCAGAGAAGTTCAAGGACCCGTCGCTGTACCACTACGCGCTCTTCTCCGATAACGTGCTCGCTGTCTCCGTCGTTATCAACTCCACCGTGCAGAACACCAAGGAACCGGAGAAGTAAGCACGCTTGACACCCCTGCCTGGTTCCCTCCTGGTTTCCCTCCCTTACTCGCTCTGCTGCCTCGACCTCCTCCTTCACCTCCTTTTGTTGTTTCTTTCCGTCCCAGTCCCCACTCTCCTGTCTGCACCACCTCTCGTGTTCAGTAATTTCCCTCCTCTTGCGCTGATCAGTCCCCCTGGGTCCGTTCCCCAGCATCCCTTCCCCATCATCCCTCCCAAATCCTCCCTCCCCCGTCCGCTGAAGTCAGCTGGTTTTTCACGCCTCTGTCCCATCCCCATCATCCCTCACCGCTTCCTGTCTTCCTGCCATCCCGCCATCCCGCCTCCTCGCCTCCTTGCCCCCGCGCCCCCGCGCCTCCGCGCCTCCGCGCCCCCTTGTGTGGGAGCAGGCACGTGTTCCACGTGGTGACGGACGAGATGAACCTGCCGGCCATGCGCACGTGGTTTGCACTGCACCCGCCGGGCAAGATGGCGCTGGAGATCAAGGCGGTGGAGCAGTACACGTTCCTCAACGCCTCCTACTGCCCCGTGCTGCAGCAGCTGCAGGCCGCCGCGCTCAAGTCGTACTACTTCTCACAGCACGAGGAAGGTGGGTAGGGACGGGGAAGTGGGGGGGAAGAAAGGACATGCACCGTTTGGGGCCGGGTGGGGTGGATTAGAATGGGGGAGAGGGATGAGGAGGCGGGTGGGGGAATGGGTGTTTGGGGGATGGGAAATGGTTGCATGGTTGATGGGAGATGGGTGTATGGGGAAATGGAAGCTGGATTGTTTGGGGATTGAGAGATGGTTGTGTGGTGAATGGGAGCTGGGGTGTATGGGGAATTGGAGATCAGAAGGAACGAGATGAGTGATCAGGGCGGGGGCATGCCTCATGCCCCGCATTCCGTGACCGCATTGGCCTCACGAGTTTTAGTATTCACTTAGCTACTCGCTGTGACTGTTGCACTACTGCTAGTGTACCCGAGAGGCATGCGTTTCCCCTACTTCTTGCATCTCTCCTCCCTCCTTTTCTCCTCCATTTCTCC